TTGAGTTTTAGGATGTGTTGGGCTTGTTTCAAACAGGTGGGTTGAACCTTGGTATAAAAATCTTGTTGCCAGGTTTTTGGTCGTTCCGCTCGAGCAGGCCTTGTTGCGCTCGAGCGGAGATTGCACGCTCCCAGTTTTTCATCTTCCTGCAAAACTTCTGCAGGTGTAATTTTTACCCTCGAGCGGTAGCGCTCGAGCGGGTGATGTGGCGCTCAAGCGGGTAGTTCTTTTTGGTGTATGTTCTGGGAGGGGGAAATCTACGCTTGAGTGGAATGGTTTTCGCACTCGAGCGGATGTTCTTTATTCTTGTGTCTTGGCGCTCGAGCGGCACTTCTTGCGCTCGAGCGTACCTAGTTTTTTGTTCTTGACGCTCGAGCGTTGTGTTCTCCGCTCGAGCGGGAATGTCGTATATCAGTTGGCAACTGGGCATTTTAAAATCACTTTTTACATTCTCTTTCTCTCTCTTACTTTCTAAAAAGATATTTTGAGAGCTCCTCTCTCGGGTCGGATTGTTTAATATTATGTTGTAATATTGTTGAGAGTGGAGAAAACTTGTTTTTGAAAACTTGTATTTAATTTCGGGGACGAAATTCTTTAAGGGGGGAGGTTATAGCGATCCCGGTTGTCTCTTTACTGTTCTGTTGTATTCCAGACTCGGTTCCGTGGAGTTAGTAGTTGTATCTATCTTGTTGTCGTCCTTTAATTCCATTCGTTTGAGTTTTAGGATGTGTTGGGCTTGTTTCAAACAGGTGGGTTGAACCTTGGTATAAAAATCTTTTTGCCAGGTTTTTGGTCGTTCCGCTCGAGCAGGCCTTGTTGCGCTCGAGCAGAGATTGCACGCTCCCAGTTTTTCATGTCCCTGCAAAACTTCTGCAGGTGTAATTTTTACGCTCGAGCGGTAGCGCTCGAGCGGGTGATGTGGCGCTCAAGCGGGTAGTTCTTTTTGGTGTATGTTCTGGGAGGGGAAAATCTACGCTTGAGTGGACTGGTTTTCGCACTCGAGCGGATGTACTTTATTCTTGTGTCTTGGCGCTCGAGCGGCACTTCTTGCGCTCGAGCGTACCTAGTTTTTTGTTCTTGACGCTTGAGCGTTGTGTTCTCCGCTCGAGCGGGAATGTCGTATATCAGTTGACAACTGGGCATTTTAAAATCACTTTTTACATTCTCTTTCTCTCTCTTACTTTCTAAAAATCTATTTTGAGAGATTCTCTCTCTAGAAACTCTCTTCTCTCTAGGGTTTGATGTAGTTAGAGTGTCTCTCTATCCTCCGGTCTTTGTAAAAAGTGTGTTGATCGTCAAGGGCTTCGTTTTGATCCGAGAATCGTCGTGTTTGGAGCATTTTCACTTTCTCTTCCTTCTCCGTTTGAGCTCTAACTTCGAGGTAGGGATATCCTACTCCTTCTCATGAGTTTTGTCTTTAAATTTTAGCATTTTGATGAGTTGGGGGTTGTTGGGTAATTTTGAGAAAGTTTGGGCCTTTGTGTAATTTTATAAAAGTTGGGGTTTTGTTTATATAGACGTATATGCATGTTTGGCATAGAGAAATGAGATCAATATTGGTCTGTTGGTAAAAAAAATGGAACCTTAGGGTTGTGATGTTAATTATGGGAAATGCTCTAATTACATTGATGAATTAATTGGTATAATTAATTTGAAGAAAAGAGGAATTAAGTTTAGAATGTTGGAATTGGAGGTGTGTGGGATTAAAGGGTGCAGTTGGATTCGTTTATCGCTCACCTAGCTTAAATGTTGATTATATATCCATTTTGTGCATTTATTTTCAGTATAGAAATAACTACTTTGGGCTATTGGTGGAGGATAGTCTTGATTGTTGTAGACACTGCATGATGATTAGGCAAACTAAAACTAATCGATTGAGTATGCTATTGAATATAGCAGGTGGAATAATACATAAATTATATGTATTGATTGATTGTATATGATCTATGTTTATATACATGTGTTGTGTGGGAGGAGATGGGGGATGTACTCCACGGTTTAGGGGAAGATAGGGGATGGACCTCTAAACCGGATTTTGTGTGACAGTGATACAGCACTACAATGTGTATCAGGCTGCGAATTAGAAGTGTTTTTGTTTCATTAATACAGCACTAGAATGTGTATTATTTGAGACTTATGGAAGTGTCTGAATTGATTTGATATAGCACTAACATGTATATCGTTATCCATTGTAAAGTATAGAAGTAAATCTATGTAATGTTGATACAGCATTAAAATGTGTATCCTTCATGAATTTTGAAAGTGTCTTAAAGATTAGTCTAAATCTCATTAAGTTGTTTGGCTAGGTGTTGAGCCTTGTTTTCAAACTCAAAGTTGGAAAAGACATGGAAATAAAATGTAACATGGACTTAACATCATGAAATCAAAATGTGATATAAGTGGATGTATCTGTGTTGACCATCTATCAACTGCTAATCTTTTTGTCATTATTCATGGCTGGTTTAGTGTATTTCTGCTGGGCTGTGGCTCACCCTTTATGGGACATCATTTTCAGGTACTGGTAGCATGCCACCTCCAAGGACGTAGCTTGGGAGACTAGAGGCAGACAGATCATTCTGTTTACTTTCTTTTGATGTATTACATGTAAATTCAAGCCAAGGGCTTAATATGTATTGAGTTAGCACTCTTTTTTTGTAACCAAGTGTTAACTTGGAAAGCTGTAAGCCCGTAGGGCATTTGCTTTTGTTGTTAACATGTAATACTTTTGTAAGGATCTACTCTGATGAATAGAAGAATGTTTATCTTTTATACCAATGCATGTCTAAGTTGATGGGTTTTAGTGTTATTTTTTTGAGGGCGTTACAATATGTGTGTATGTGTGTGTGTGAATGCAGTCCCATCTCGGTTGATCATTTTGAAGTTTCTAATCATTTGTCTCAATTGAGGTGCAAAACTTCTAGGTGTAAGTTTCTGTAAGTTTTTAATCATTTGTCTCAAATGTGGGTTTTGTTGCTCTGCTCTTTCTTTTTTAAACTTGTATGGTGAAATTTTATGCTTATGGGTATTTAGAAACTTTAATCTTTATAATGAGTTGATTTGAGGAAGGGAATGATTAAGTGGTTTTGTATTCTTCACAGAGTGTTGTGGGAATTATACTTGGAGGTGGAGCTGGGACTCACCTTTACCCTCTTACAAAGAAGAGAGCAAAACCAGCTGTTCCTTTAGGAGCAAATTATCACCTGATTTGGCTTCCATATTTTGATGCAGGCATCCAGACCAATGAAGATTACAGATTCTATGCTACATCAAATGGGTTCAGTGAATTTAGCAGCAAGGACAAGACATTAAATTAAATCAAAACTCATGGGGTTTGCCTTAATGTTTTTCCTGTTATTTTTTGGTGAATGTTAAAACATGATTTATGGGGAATGATTAAGTGGTTTTGTATTCTTCACAGAGTGTTGTGGGAATTATACTTGGAGGTGGAGCTGGGACTCACCTTTACCCTCTTACAAAGAAGAGAGCAAAACCAGCTGTTCCTTTAGGAGCAAATTATCACCTGATTTGGCTTCCATATTTTGATGCAGGCATCCAGACCAATGAAGATTACAGATTCTATGCTACATCAAATGGGTTCAGTGAATTTAGCAGCAAGGACAAGACATTAAATTAAATCAAAACTCATGGGGTTTGACTTAATGTTTTTCCTATTATTTTTTGGTGAATGTTAAAACATGATTTATGGATATGTTATTTTGTAGTTAATCATAATTGTATATTAAATTGAATAGGAAAGTGAATTAATGTTGTATTTGCTACCTGACAACTTTTCATATAATTGTTTTATCTTTTGACAAATGTTCATTTGAATGGGAACGGGAATTATTGATTCATATTAGTACTATTTTTTAATTTTATTACAGGTATTTCTTTATTCAACCACATAGAATGAGCACAATTTAAAACAAATAAATTAAAAAAATAAAGATATAATGGCGTTTTTGAAAATGCCACTATACAGTCAATAATAATAATAATAATAATAATAATAATAATAATAATAATAATAATAATAATAATAATAATAATAATAATAATAATAATAATAATAATAATAATAATAATAATAATAATAATAATAATAATAATAATAATAATAATAATAATAATAATAATAATAATAATAATAATAATAATAATAATAATAATAATAATAATAATAATAATAATAATAATAATAATAATAATAATAATAATAATAATAATAATAATAATAATAATAATAATAATAATAATAATAATAATAATAATAATAATAATAATAATAATAATAATAATAATAATAATAATAATAATAATAATAATAATAATAATAATAATAATAATAATAATAATAATAATAATAATAATAATAATAATAATAATAATAATAATAATAATAATAATAATAATAATAATAATAATAATAATAATAATAATAATTGTTGAGTTTCACATAGTTTATGATATCATCTAATATATGGCAAACTAAAATTATGAAATCCTTAGAAAATAATAATGTATTTATATTTTATCATAGGTGTAGTTTTTGTTTATTAAAATAAATAAATGTGCAATTTTATAATTTATCATAATTTTTGTTTAATTTTTACTAATTACATTATGATTTATGTTATTGTTATTTAGAACTTAAAACATAACATTAATGGTAAGGGGGAAAAAATCATAAGCGAAATTGTGAAAACAAATAATTAAAATTTAATTAATTTTATTTTTTTACTATTTAATTTTAATTTTAATTTGAAAATTGTTTATTTAAAATCGTGCATAGCAGGGTATGTACAATTAATATGCCAAAGATCCAAAATATAGAAATAAAATAATTAATGGAACTTAAGAGGTTAAAAAATTGTGTACAAGATTGAAACTTAAATAACTCTTTGAAACGGATCTATGGCCAAATGTTTCTACTACTACTACTATTATTATTATTATTATTATTATTACTCACTTCAAGATTTGATTATGTGTGCGACAATATGGGAGCTCAAACGAAATTTACAATTCCAGCCTTATCTACAAACGAAGCATGGAAGCTTTACAAGGATATGGCTAGAATTTCCAATGACACAAGCCACACAAGTACTGATTTGTATATCACCCAGAAGACAGATGCAACTGAATGTGGAGGCTTGTCGGTTGTTATTGTTACAGTTGCGTGGGCACTCAATGATAAAGATAGGCATTCATGGAACTCTGCTCTTCAACAATTAAGCAGGTCCCTCATCAAAAACATTAGGAGAGTAAAAGAAAAGGTGTTTAAATCTTTGGAGTTGAGCTACAACTACTTAGAAAGTACAAGAGCTAAGAAATGCTTTTTGCTCTATTCCTTATATCCGGAAGATTTTGATATTCCAATTGAATATCTTGTTAGATATGGGGTTGGGATAGAGTTGTTTGAGGCTGTTGACAGTGTCAACGAAACAAGAGACAGAGTACATGCCTCTATTGATGAGTTAAAAAAAGGCTATCTCTTGATAGATAGTGAAGTAAAAAGTTACGTTAAAATGCATGATGTAATACGTGATGTTGCTATGTCAATTGCATCTAAGGAGGAGCATTCGTTTATGGTAAGATGTGACCAAGCATTGAAAGCATGGCCAGAGAAAGAACGACACAAAAAATTATGATATAATTTTAATGCGATGCATTAATATGAGTTGGTTGCCTGATAATCTAGAATTCCCAAAAGTCCATCTTTTACAGCTAGAGGACAATTATACATCAGAACTGCCAAAACTCCCATATAGTTTCTATAGAGGGATGAAGAAACTCAAAGCTCTAAACATGTTGAATGTGTACATAGAAGGATCATTGCCGACATTGTTGAGTTTGACACACTGGTGGACCTAGAAATACAATCTTTATTGATAACACTTTAGTACACAAAACACTTATACACAATCACACACTAATACACTTCACTTATCCACTCACACATACATTCCAGAACTCACACTTTGTGTCTTCCTCACACAAGACCTTGAGAAACCTCACACTAGATAGTGCTTGACCACTCGCTTTGGACTCACTCTTTTTTCACTTAATTGTCCAATTACCTAGTACATGCACTCATCTCATATTTATACTAGTTGAAGAACTTTCTAGAATACACTCATCCTTTTCTTACACTCTAAAACAATCTAGATTACTCCAGTACATATTAGGGCTTTCTATACTTCTCTAAAATATTTTAGAACCTTTCGAAACTTTCTAGATTTCTCTAGTTTTCTCTAAACTTCTTTAATGTTGTGAAACCTTCTAGGATATTCTAAAATCTTCCGAATTTCTCTAGGTCTTTCTAGAACCTTCTAGATCTTTCCGGAGTATTCTAGAACCTTCTAGATCTTTCTAGAACCTTCTAGATCTTTCCGGAGTATTCTAGATTCATGTGGAGACTTCTAGAATATTCTAGAGAGAAGATTCTAGAGAGTGAGGAGAGTTAGTGATGACTCTCAACACTCCCCCTCAGCACTAACTCTCATTTCTAGATTACGTAACCATGGCACATTGTTTCAGAAACTCTTCTTGAGTATATCCATGCCTTGGTCCTTTGCCATTGTCTCCATCTCTTTCAATATTGACTTCTCTTTTTTGAAATGATTTATTCTTCCATGGAACACCACGTCCTTGGCTAGCTTGGGGAGTTCTGTTAGGGATTTCACCACCCTGAGAAAAGGCCTCAATGCTATATAAGAGTCTAGGCTTTTACTTTTATCGCCTAGGAAGTCCCCCTTTATTCTCGATGTGGGACACTGGGACCTTACAATCCACCTCCCTTAAGGCTGCACATTCCCGTGCAGTAGCTTGCTAGCTCACAAGCCCGCCTACATACACCAAGAGACACTAGGGGCCCACAATCAGTACTTCGGAGAGTCAACTCTGATACCATTTGTAATGCCCCAACCCTTCACATGTCATCGATATTATCCATTTTGGGCCACTCCCGCACAGATTTGTTCTTTCCAGTGGGTCACTCATCCCAAAACTATTCCAGCCTAAGCACGCTTAATTGGGGAGTTCTGCTAGGGATTTCACTACCCGGGAAAAGACCTCGACGCTATATAAGGGTCTAGGTTTTTACTTTTATAGCCCGGGAACTCCCCCCCTCCATTCCCAATGTGGGACACCGGGACCTTACAATCTACCCCCCTTAAGGTTGTATGTCCCCGTGCAGTAGCCTTCCAACTCACAAGCCTGCCAACATACACCGAGAGATGCTAGGGTCCCACACTCGGTACTCTGGAAAGTCGGCTCTGAAACCATTTGTAATGCCCCAACCCTTCACATGTCATCGATATTGTCCGCTTTAGGCCACGCGTGCACGGATTTGTTCTTTCCAGTGGGTCACCCATTCCAAAACTGTCCCAGTCTAAGCACGCTTAACTGGGGAGTTCTGCTAGGGATTTCACCACCCGGGAAAAGGCCTCGATGCTATATAAGGGTCTAGGTTTTTACTTTTATAGCCTAGGAACTCCCCCTCCATTCCCGATGTAGGACACCGAGACCTTACAAACATACCTTGGATTGTGTTGACATTGCCTTGTAGATATTGATTGTTGTAGCTTTATCACTTCTTCAACTTCTTCTTCTTTTGTTTGTTCCCCCAACTTCTTTGGTAGGTGAGCTTCTGGATCCTTAACTCTTGAAGATTGAGACTTAGCTGTAGGAGTGGACTCATCTGTAATAGAGTATGCATCCATTTCCTTGATAACTGCATTGCACTGCTCATGTACGCCTTCATCGAAGTCTATCTCATTTTCTGAATCTACTTCAGTAACCACGAACTTTGTAGAAGATACTTCAAAATCCCATTCTTCTTCTAATTTTGGCTCTTCTTCTAAGGAACCTGGTTCCATGGTCTCGAACATTGCACATGAAGCTTGGAAATCCCATTCTTCTTCACTCTCATCTTGGTAACCATTAGATGTTACCATATTACCTTCAATTGGTCTTCTTCTTGACTAACAATCTTTTGCGTAGTGGCCAATCTTGCCACATTTGAAGCACTCTATATTGTGTCGTCCAAATCTAGTAGCTCTACGATCATTTTCATCATGTCGAACTCCCCTTCGTTGATAACTTCGATCATCTTGTGATTGTTCATCTTCTTCTTTCTTCAATTTTTCATGTTTTTGCCACTTCTGTCCATCTCTTCTCTTGCTACTGAATAACGCCTCTTCTTCACTTGCATTCTTCAGTGTGACTCTAGCCATTTGTTTTTCTAGAGTTTCTTGATTCGCCAATAGACTTTCCAGCTCGACCAGTGATGGTTGAGTAGACCATCCTCTAACAACGGCCATAAGCCCACTATACTCGGGTCTTAAACCTCGAGTAATAATGCACCTCATTCTTGACTCACTAATTTTTGACTCGAGATCAAGTTGTGAAATTTCATTGCAAAGAGTCTTTACCTTGAAAAAATATTGGTTGATAGTCATTGATCCTTGTGTCACCGTTGCAAGCTCGTTCTCTAGATACTGAAGTCATGCATCATTTGTCTTCGAAAATAACACCACAAATGTGTCCCAGACTGCTTTTGGAGTAGCAGTCTCCTGAACATACTCCAATAACTCTTTCTGAACAGTTGTCCTTAACACGAACATTGTTTTTCCAGCCTTAATCCGCCACTTTCACAAGCCCTCTATATTTTCTTCTCCAAGTGACACAGTTTCCTTGACGTCAACAATCTCCCATAGACCTTGTCCTTGAAGATATGCCTCAATGCATATTCGCCAATAATCATAATTATAATAATTTAATTTGTCAATACCACCAAGGAAGTTTTCGAAATCCGCCATAACAACTGTGCTCGTATCAATCTCAATCGCTTGCATCAACCTCAATTGCTCTTCGTGTTGGCCCCCGAATAACTATGCTCTGATACCAAATTGTTGAGTTTGACACACTGGTGGACCCTGAAATACAACCTCTATTGATAACACTTTAGTACACAAAATACTTATACACAATCACACACTAATACACGTCACTTATCCACTCACACATACATTCAAGCACTCACACTTTGGGTCTTCCTTACACAAGACCTTGAGAAATCTCACACTAGATAGTGCTTGACCAATCGCTTTGGACTCACTCTTTTTTCACTCAATTGTCCAATTGTCCAATTACTTAGTACATGCACTCATCTCATATTTATACTAGTTGAAGAACTTTCTAGAATACACTCATCCTTTCCTTACACTCTAAAACAATCTAGATTACTCTAGTACATATTAGGGCTTTCTATGCTTCTCTAAAATATTCTAGAATCTTTTGGAACTTTCTAAATTTCTCTAGTTTTCTCCAAACTTCTTTAATGTTCTGAAACCTTCTAGGATATTCTAGAATCTTTCGGATTTCTCTAGGTCTTTCCAGAATCTTCTAGATCTTTCCAGAGTATTCTAGATTGATGTGGAAACTTCTAGAATATTCTAGAGAGAAGATTCTAGAGAGTGAGGAAAGTTAGTGATGACTCTTAACAGACATCACTCCAATGGTTGACCAACCTTCGAAGCTTGTCACCAAGGTTTTAAAAAGCGGCCATTACGTAATGGTTATGGTGGTTATCGCCACCCGTTGCGGCCACTTTTGTGGTGTGATTGAGATTCACAGATGTATCGGCCGTAGTGGCTGCCGTAGCAATCGTAATGGTGCCATAACGGCTGTAACGGCCTGTTACGCACCATTATGTAACGGTTCCAAATTGCTTCTTTCGAAAAAAAAATTAAAAAAATTAAAAAGTTAAAATGTGAGAAGAGGGATAGAGAGAGAAAATGAAAGATGGAGGAGTAAGAGATAGAGAGAGAAGAGGCAAGAGGAAGAACATGTTATTAATTTGTTGAAGCTATAAGACCTATGCTATTCTATTCAGCTATTATCACTCAACCATTTTGTTTGTGTGTGTCTATCTACAAAAAATCTCAGTTTATAGTGATTTAAAAATATGAAATATATTGGATCATACTTAAAAATTTACAAAAATTGATCAATATTTATTTTAAAACCCAATAAATATGATTATGGAAAAAAAATATGCATATCGGTAAAAAAATTTCAAATTGTGTGAAAAATAAAAAAATTCACGGTTCTGGTCACTGCAACCGTTACGCTACAGCCTTTACACCCCGCAACCGTAACCGCAACCACGTTACCACCACCGTTACGTCGACCATAACCACTTTTCAGAACCTTGCTTGTCACTATACAGATGCGAACAAATCAATGATGTATCTGTGATAGGAGCATTAGAGAATCTAGAAATTTTATGTTTCAATGGAACTAGAATCAAGTAGTTGCCAAAAGAAATAGGCCGGCTTAGTCACTTGAAGCTATTGGATTTGTTGCGATGTGGCGTGAAAAGGATTTGTCCAGGGGTTTTGTCAAGCTTATCAAAGCTAGAAGAGTTGTATCTTGGATCTAGCTTTAATGATGAAAACAATATAGAAGAAACTAAAGCGACTTTCACTGAGCTAGGGTTCTTGTCTAATTTTACTACTTTGGATGTTGAGCTAACAAGTTTCAAATACTGGCCAAGGGACTTGGTCCTTACACATCTACAAACATTCGTTATTATCCTTGGCTCTACTCTCCCTACTTACTATCCTAGTGACTATCAATTTCAAAACCAGGTGACTCTCAAGAATCTTCACAGGAACGATCTTATGGAGAGTGGGTTCAAGATTGTTTTCAAGATCACTAAACAATTGCACTTAACACAAGTAGTAGGTTTGAAGAATGTTGGCTATGATTTAGAGAAAGATGGTTTCAAACAATTAACTGCATTGTGGTTGGATAAGTGTGAGGATCTGGGATATCTCATCAAAACAACAAATGGAGATGGGGTTCAACTACAAGAGGAGGCCTTCACTGTGTTGAAAGAGATGCAACTATTGGACTTGCCTGCATTGACACATTTGTGGAAGGGTCCCACTCAACTTGTACAGTTCGTAACCTGACATCTGTAGAAGTGAAGAGATGCGATAAATTGAAAAGCATGTTCTTAGTTTCCATAGCTAGAGATCTGAGGCAACTACAGACACTTAAGATATCCAGATGCCGTATGATGGAAGTACTTATTTCGAGTGATAAAGAAAGAGATCAAAATGAGATAGCATCAGCAACAATGCATAAAATTGTGTTTCCTAAACTGAGGGAATTAATTCTTGGACGCCTGCCAAGTTTTACTGTTATCTGCAAGACCATTAATGCAATTAAGCTGCCACAATTGAACCAACTAATACTCTATAAGAAACCAAAGCTCAATAGTTTTTGCAATGCTTCAGAGAGCAATTACAATACCATTCAACCTCTCTTCAATAAGGTATGCTTCTTTGATATAAGTTTGTTTTGAATTCTACTTTTGTCTCTCTAATTTTATATCTTGTTTTTTCCATTTAAAATGTTAAAAACGCATGATGGAGAAACGATGTTGCGACAAAATAAAAAAAAATAGAGTTCAAGTTATTCTAATTAAAATTACGAAAATCAAAGTGAAATTTCACTGAAATTAGAGGAACCAATGGTATATTTTATCTTAAAAAATGTAGAATACTTAATTATTAATAATGTGTTAAAAAGTCTAAAAGGAGGTTTGAGTAGCGGTGGTACAGAGATTTTTATAAGGTCTCTATTTTACTAGAATGAGTAGAACAATAATATTAAGGATCATGAAAAAAATATCATAAAATGATTCATGAAATTTTTTTTATCCTTTATTAGTGTGTGATGTTTTATTATGTATGCAATACAAAGGTAGAGAATCATCATGAAGCTTTTCATGATAATTCTTTCATGATACCTAATATTACTCATACTAAAATTCTTAGTGAAAACTCTTCAAATGATCTTTTTACCGCATTATTTTAAATCCATTCTTATTAACCTTAGAAATTATTTACTTACCCAAAAAAAAAAAACCTTTGAAATTATCATTGGTTTTGTTTGAGATATCTCATAAATCCACAAATATACATTTCATTAAACGTGAAGAGAAAATTTCATTTTGCCTCCCAAACTATATCTCGATAATCAATTTAACTCTTTGTACTTCTTATAATTTCAATTTTACACTTACACTATTTAATTTTGAATTAATTCCACCACTATCATCAGTTGATGTCTATAATTAGAAGCACTTAGTCCCGTTTTTATTTGAAATTTTATTTTACCTCCCAAATTATCTCAAAAATATCAATTAGACCCCTACAAAGTTTGGGGGTCTAGTTGATACTTTTGAGATAGTTTGGGGGAAAATGAAATTTCAAACGAAATTTCAACGTCACACCAGCAACTTTTGTTTGATTATAAATGGCAACTAACAACAAGGGTAAAATTGATCCAAAATCAAATAACTTAGGTGTCCAATTGAAATTATAAGAAATACAGGAGTTAAATTGATCATCAAGGTATAGTTTGGGGCGTAAAATGAAATTTCCTCTAAAATGAATGTGCATAACAAAAGTAATGAAGTTTTAAGAAACAATAAAAATTAAATTAAAGTCACATCAACATCCTTAACTGTGCTGACATGAGCTGGGGAGGCTATTTAGTACTCCTCGAGCATGGCCAATTAGTGATTTGGTGGATGACATTGCCATATTATACACCTAGAGCACCTAATAATTAATTTTTCAGCTAGGTGTACATGTTTGCATGTGTGGATATTTTTGAGGGGGGAAAAAAATACTAAAATACGACTTATTGGAATAAAATATCTTAAGTACAATTTTATGAAATAGGACTTCTCAATAAATGCCTCTAATTAGAATGGCAAATGGTTATCATTGCTGAAATCGAAATTAGTCAGGAATTGTGGATTACCTTTTGAATCAAGTAATGACGAGCCGACCTTAATTTTTCTCAAAATTACTTTACTTAGCCAATTTTACTTAAGTTGCCAAAAATCTATCTTACTTTGCAAAACATGTCCAAAGGCTCATATTTTATAAAACTCAAAAATATATTCTATTTTCTCTTTTTAACTTTATCTTGCTATTAAATGACAAAATCAATAATTTTCGGGTATAGTGAGCTTGCATTAGAAAAACAAAATAAAAATGCATACAATTTCATAGTTTTTGAAGAAGATAACATCAAGTTCAAAAACAGTGAAATTCACTCAATATCACAAGTAAGTGGTTTGCAATTTCATTTTCAAAACCACAGTTGACACAAACATGATCGAAAATTCTGCTATGCTATTTTCAACCTTAACGTCATTTTTGGTTGGGAGATTTGGGAAGAGATTTGGAAAGGGAAAGGGAAAAGGTAAGTGAAATGTGAAAAACAAATATACCTACATTTCACATAGTTTCACACACCTTTTCCCTTTCCCTTTCCCTTTCCCTTTTCGAATTCCTTCCTAAATCTCTCAACCAAATACAACGTAAATGAATGATGTTTAATTTAATTAAAATATATTGTGTTTAACTATTTTTGTAACCCTGTGAATGGTTTCTGCAGGTTGAATTAATTGCCATTGAAAAATTGTTGATCTTGTCAATGCATAACGTGATAGAGATATGGCCTGGGAAACATCTGCAAAAACTAAGAGACATGATAATTTTTAGGTGTCCTAAGCTATCGAATATTCTTTCTCCATGCAATTTGATCAAGGGCATGCAGAGTCTTGAACACCTTTGAGTGTAGTACTGCCAATCTGTGGAAGTATTATTTGACCTTGAAGGAGTAATTGTTAGGAAAGGCTGTTCAGATATCATACTCCCTTCATTAACACAATTGATGCTACTTTATCTACCAAAGTTGACACATGTTTGGAAGGACAATTTACCAATAATTCAAGGCTTTCAGAACCCAACATCCTTAATAATAAGTGGTTGTGGTAGTTTGAGAAATATATTCTCACCTTCTCAAGCCAGACTTCTTGTGAAACTACAAGAAATAAAGGTAACTGAATGTGGTGTGCTGGAAGCGATCATTGGTGAGGAACCAAAAGTAGATGACAAAGTTATAGCCAATATAATCATGTTTCCTCAACTAAGTAGTCTTAAACTCTATCATCTGCCAAACCTTAGGAGTATATGTCCCCCGGCTTATGCAGTTGAAGGATCATTCTTGAAGAAGATAGAAGTGATTAATTGTCCCAACATGAAGGCACTCCCCTCAGCATTCTAGGGCATTCCAGAGCTACAAGAAAGCAATGTTCAAAAAGTGGACTTTTTTGGCTCAGCTCAACACCATCTCTAGGATGGAAATGTAAGTGAGTTAGTTATCTTAAATAGTATTCACTATTAGCAGCCTATTCTTTAAAAGAAAATGTTTCCAAGATATGTTAAGTTAAGCTAAAGTTAAACCTCAACATGATTGAAGATGACTGTATTGTTGGGTAAACAAAATCAAAGAGAGTAAACTCTTTAGCATTGATGTGGTCAAATTGTCAAGTAAAATACTCTATTCTTATTAATAATAGAAAAAATTCTACACATTTTTTCTTCAAAATGATGTAATTATAGTATTTCACAGAATATCAAATCATATATCTCTTAATCTAATCCAATTATATGATGGAGTTAAAATGTAAACTTATTAAAATTTAGTCAATTTTGATATTCTTAAATGATGCAAGTATTTTTTAGAGAGACCTGAATTAACAATATAAATGCATCTATCATGTATGTCTGGTTTTTTCATCTTTCAATGGTCTTAAATTTCGAAGAATATATATGTTCGGATGGGGTGTCTCTGACAAGCTTTGCTTTCTTATTCATCTAAGGCCCCGTTTGTTTTCAGAGGTAAAATGAGGGGATTGATAGTGAGGGGATTGTTAGTGAGGGGTTTAAGTAAAATTGTGTTTGTTTTGATGGTAGTTGTTAGTGTGGAGATTGTTAAATTATTACCTTATAAAAGAAATATAAAATATTAAAACAAATAAAACAATGATTTTTACTCAAAAAAAAAAAAAAAACATTAAACATTAAACATTGATGTTAAAAGAAAATTTCCAACATGTTAGAAAAAAAAAAACTAATCCCATGGGACTAATTTCCTAATACCACCTCTACCTCCTCCATCCCAATCCCAACACCAAGGCACATCCTAATCCCATAGGATTATAAATCCCCTCTCCATCTCTTAAAACAAACACAACATATAGTGGGTCCTACATCCATCTCAATCTCAATCCCACTTCTATCTCTCAAGACAAACGGGGCCTAAATATAATAGTGAAAAAAATACAATCTTTTCTTTATTTTCTCACCTAGTTGAGAGATCACAAGTGGAGTGTATGTGCTTTTTCTTCATTGTCACATTGGTCTAAGTTAACGTGTGTTTTTATTATGTAATTAGTAAATATGCCGCTAACACAATTGAGGTGATAACATTTGCAGTTTAGTTTAAGCAGCAATGGAAAACTTATTGTCATAGGAATAAATGAGCCAAATGAGATATGGCACAATCAACTTGAAGTCTGATGCTTTCACAAAGTAAAATTCATGCGGGTCCAGTGTTGTGGGAAATTATTAACTGTTGTTTTATCTAATTTAATGCAAAGACTACACAATATGAAAGGGCTAAGGGTTTGGTGGTGTGGCTCACTGGAAATAATATTTGACCTCCTAGAAGGGGTGTGTGCTAGTGCTAGTTCTAGTGGTGGTGCTGGTGAGGAAGAAACATCAATTACACCATTAGACTTTTTGGAATTGAAGTATTTTCCCAAGTTGATGCATATATGGAAGAATGTTTCCCAAGAAATTCATTGTTTTGAAAGTCTAACATCTCTAATAGTGGAGTGGTGTGACTACTTGAGATATATATTCACAATTTCCATGGCGAATGTCCTTGTGAATCTAGAAGATCTATATATTAGACATTGCGAGAAGGTAGAAACGATTGTCACCAGGGAAAATGAAGAAGAAATCCTTTTTCGACAATTTCCCCATGTTGAACTTACCAATCTTCCCAGTCTCGTGTGTTTTGGCCCGGACATAAATGATATTGAAATTCTAGTCAGTCACTCAACTATAAATTTATGCCTCAAATTTGCAGGTAAAACTTCAATTATTTTTGCAAGTTTTCACCGAATTCAATTTCTAAAAAAATTGAAATTTTTAGAAATTGAATTATGAAGTACACCCACTTGAATTATGAAGTACAACCAAGTAATAACTAGTCAATCAAAAAGGGTAAAATAAGGTAGTAAACCTAACCACACCTCGTCAACAACCATGGTGTGTCCAAGAACAACTACCTATCCTCAAAAAAGGGGAAATTTCTAGGGGTCGTATACCATTTGCATTTATTATGTATATATTCTGCATTTCTATAGCAAATATTACGTAATCTTTTGATCAAGTTACAAAAATTTGTGATTCATAAATAAAATTATGCATTTTTGTTATAATGTTATGCATTTTTGTGGTAATATTACATATTTTTTCATCGAGATATTTTTAAACAAAAAAATGTGTAATTTATTTTTTGAATCCCAAATTGTTATAACTTTATCAGAAAATTACATAATATTTGCTAAAAAAAATGACATGTTTAAAAATAAATAAATAATAAGGTGCATATAATACATGCCATATTCCATCCTTCAGATATAATTAATACGTAGCATTAAACTGTGTACTTCAGAATTAATATCGTACGTATATATATTCTTAAGATATGTTTCATATGTTGTCAACAATTGTTTACCATTTAAACAATATTGACATTGTAGTGTGCATGGCTAGGTTCATTATGTTACAAACAAATTGATTTTTACTTCAAAATTTAAATATATTGTCAAATGTTAACATTATTTTCTCTTTAATTAGTGCATAGCCAATGACAGTGAGGATCACTATTATGATTACAATAAAGATGACTTTGATGATGAAGATTATGAAGAAGACTTTGGCCCTAGTGATACCGATTTCCCTTTTGATTACTATTGCAATGATGGTGGTGGTGATGACGACGACGACGGCGATGATGGAGATGACTTTGGCAATGATGATGATGGCAACGACAACGACAATGATTAACAACATTGTTGGGTATTAGCAACTGAAGATTGTCAACACTTCAAAGAAAAAGGTATACTATTGATACATAAAAAATTGTCATTGCACAAAATGCCACTTCATCTTGTTATTACCAATAAACTTTATTTTCGAAGAATACTAAATGACATCAATTAATGTTCTTCTTCCTATTCCAATGTGTTCAACTTTCAACATATCACAAAGGTTATTTATATTTACATCATGTCTCCCTATCTCAAACACACTCTCTACCACAATAAAATGAGAGTATGTAACGCCCTCAAAATAAACCCATAAATCATACATTCAAGACATCCATAAACATAAGAGAATAAAGCATAATTCTATTTATCAGAGTATTCATTACAAAAGTATTACATGTTGACATCAAAAGTAAATGCCCTGCGGACTTACAACGTTCCAAGCCAACACTTGGTTACAAAAAGAGAGTACTAACTCAAAACACAAAATAAGCACTTGGCTTGATTTACATATAATACATAAAATAATCACAAAAAGGAAGCCTTCAGCTTCTACAACCTCCCAAGCTACATCCTTGGGGGCGGCATATCACTTGTACTTGAAAATGATGTCCCGTATAGGGTGAGCCAACGCTCAGTAGACATATGCTAAATATAATATGAGCAATAACTAAAACATTAACATTTAATAAATGTTTAACTCTTACAAACCAACGTACAACACAATCCAATTCCATGACAGATATGTCCATATTTCATTCCACTTTCCTTTACTTATCAAACTTTCAATTCTTAACATGGCTCAGAACCTGGCCAACAATTTAATGAGACTACCACTCATATTAAAGCACTTCCTTACTTCACAATAGATACACATATTTGCTGTATCAATGTCATGTTAAAACACTTCCATACTTCACAATAGATACACATATTTGCTGTATCAATGGAGTCCATCCCCTATCTTCTCCCAAATAATATCCGGTTTAGGAGTCCATCCCCTATCTCCTCCCAAACCGTGGAGTACATCCCCTATCTCCGCCCACACAATACAATGTATATAAACACTTATCATATACAATGATCAATCAATACACATTCAAATTATTATTCCAACCGTCATATTCAATTAACATATTCAACATGATTTGTTTCAGTTTTCCCTAATCAACATACAGTGTTTACAACAATCAAGACTATCCTCCACCGATAGCCCAAAACAATTATTTCTAAACAAATAATAAATGCATCAACAGATAAATTATCATTAATTTCCAAAGGTGAGTGATTAACTTATCCAACTCCACCATTCATTCTCATAACTCCTCCATTTCATTATTTCTAACTCAATTTCATATTTTCATAACTTTCCAAATTAATTGTACAAATTAATTCATAACAACATATTAGGACTTTCCTCCCCCTTTTCTCAACATTGACCCAAAGGCTCAAATATTTTCATTAAACATCAATAACCTCATTTTAAGACTCAAAATATACATGTATGAGTCAAAAGAATAAAACCCCTCTTTATATATTTTGAAACCCTAATCCTCAAAATTACCCAACTTCAACATTACATCAAAATAACTACAAGTTTATGTCAAAGACCATAAATACGAGTAGTTATCCCTACCTCAAATGGAGAGACCAAATGGAGAAGATGAAGGATTTCGAAGGTGCTCCAAATCCAATAATTTTCTTATCAAAATGAATAGCAAGCCAAACCCCGCACTTTATATAAAGGGACCAAGGTAGAAGATCACTTGATCTAGATGATTTTGTAGAGAGAAGTTGAAGTCTAGAGTGAGAGGCTCTCAAGTTTGGGTTTTGAAAAGTAAGAGAGAGAGAGAAAGTCGAAAAAGTGATCCAAAAAGTGATTTCACGGACTGATATACAAACAGGTATGCTCGAGCGTAGAATGCCTCGCTCGAGCGTCAGACACAGACTTACGCTCGAGCGTCAAAAGAGCCGCTCGAGCGCTGGATGCACACTTCCAGAAGTTTTGCAGTCAATGGTCCCCGCTCGAGCGCGAAAGTGGACGCTCGAGCGTCTGATGACCTGCAGAACAAAATACTAGGAGATGAATAATCACACTCGAGCGTCAAAATGCCTGCTCGAGCGGAGAAACAAAAACAAAGGGCCCGCTCGAGCATCAAAATCCTCGCTCGAGCGTGTAGGCCAAAATCTGGGCATCAACATTTGGTTTCTAAACACAACCAACCTGTTCCCAACTTGCCCAACACAACCCAAGACTCAAACACAAAGAGTAAAGGGTAGAAATGAGAATAAGACAACGACCAGCATCCACGGAACCGAGTTTGGAATACAATTAAACAATGAAGGGAAAATCGGGATCGCTATAACCTCCCCCCCTAAAAGAATTTCGTCCCTGAAATTAGATAAATAAGTTTCAAAAAAAAGATTTCTTAATTCTCAACAATATTAGCATTCAATATTTCACAACCTGGCCACTACCAGTCATCCCATCTCTTTTCAAGAGGCAAATTACAACATATGTTTACAACATGCATTATCAACATGCATCCCTTTGAAATTTATCAATTTTAACATATATTCCACACTTCAATTACATATTCAATGCCAATCAATGTATTTGCATTTCTAAAACAGAATTAACATATGCAATGCTAAAATAAACTTCCATTTCCGAACCATATTCGATGGCTATAACATTTCCACAATCTAAAACATATCCAATGTCTTCAAAATTCAACAACATAACAAAGTTTTCGACACATGGTTAAACATTATCAAACAAGTCTGGATATTTCTCACGGACCTCCAACTCACGTTCCCAAATGGCTTCCTCCACCCCGTGATGTTTTCACAAAACCTTTACCAAGGGAATGGTCTTGCCTCGCAAGACTTGATCCCGCCTATCCAAGACCCTCATCGGTCTCTCCTCATACGAGGCATCCTCATCAACCTCCAAGTCGGTCCAATCCAATACATGCGACGGATCCGGCTTGTACTTCCGAAGCATATTAACATGAAACATGTCATGCACCCCGGACAACTGTAGTGGTAAAGCTAAACGGTAAGCAACCTCCCCAATCCTCTCAAGGATCTCAAAGGGACCAATAAACCAAGGGGACAACTTCCCACTCTTCCCAAATCTCATCAAACCCACCTAGGGGATATTTTCAAGAAGACATGATCACCCACCTCAAATACTAAAGGCCTCCTCCTACGGTCGGCATAACTCTTTTGGCGACTCTAGGCTGTAACAAGCCTCCTACGGATAAGCTCAACTTTCTCGGTCGTTTCCCTCACCAACTCCGAGCCCAACAAAGGTGCATCACCCACCTCGGCCCAACACACCGAAGACCTACAAGGTCAGCCATACAAGGCCTCAAACGGTGCCATACCGATACTCGACTGGAAACTGTTGTTCTAGGCAAACTCCACCAAGGGCAAGTGCCTCTCCCACGACCCACTAAAGTCAAGGACACAACCTCGAAGCATATCCTCAAGGATTTGTATAGTACGCTCGGACTGTCCGTCAGTCTGAGGATGATAAGCCGTGCTAAAGGTCAATCTAGTGCCCAAGGCACTCTGCAAACTCTACCACAACCTAGCAGTAAAACGTGGATCTCTATTTGAGACGATCGACACTAGGATCCCGTGCAACCTCACTATGTCCCGAACATACAAGTCGGCAAGATGATCTACCTAATCTCTCACGTGCATAGGGATAAAGTGCGCCGACTTAGTCAACCGGTCTACAACCACCCAAATAGCATCAGAAGACCTACAACGAAGTCCATAGTGACATGCTCCCACTTCCACTCGGCAATAGGCAAAGGTTGCAACAAACCCACTGGCCTCTGATGGTCGGCCTTCACTTGCTGACAAGTAAGACACTTAGACACAAAAACTGCCACATCTTTCTTCATACCCCACCACCAAACCTGGCGACCCAAATCACGACACATTTTAGTGCCTCCTGGATGCACCGCAAGGCGTGAATGGTGAAACTCTCGGAGTACCTCCTCTCGGCAAGACTCCGGCACAAACAAACAGTCTCGATATCTCAGACTCAGGTCGGGATACACAGTCAAACCCTTCTCAACCTTCCCACTAAAACCACCCAAATAGCATCAGAAGACCTACAACGAAGTCCATAGTGACATGCTCCCACTTCCACTCGGCAATAGGCAAAGGTTGCAACAAACCCACTGGCCTCTGATGTTCGGCCTTCACTTGCTGACAAGTAAGGCACTTAGACACAAAAACTGCCACATCTTTCTTCATACCCCACCACCAAACCTGGCGACCCAAATCACGATACATTTTAGTGCCTCATGGATGCACCGCAAGGCGTGAATGGTAAAACTCTCGGAGTACCTCCTCTCGGCAAGACTCCGGCACAAACAAACAGTCTCGATATTTCAGACTCAGGTCGAGATACACAGTCAAACCCTTCTCAACCTTCCCACTGGAGATCTTCTCCCGGAGGGATTCTACCTTAAAGTCACCTCTCTGCGCCTCTAACACTCGACTCACAAGTGTAGGCTGCGCAACAACAGAAAACAAGAACGCAGACTCAACAGATTCACCCAGAAGCAAATCAAACTCGCCAAGTGCACCCAACATTTCCCACTCCTGGATGGCTATACAAGCTACATCACTAATGGATTTTCTGCTAAGGGCATCGGCCACAACATTGGCCTTTCCCGGGTGATAGTCCAACTCAAAGTCATAGTCCTCAATGAACTCCATCCACCTCCTCTGCCTCAAATTCAAGTCTCTCTGTGTAAACAGATACTTCAGACTCTTATGATCCAAGAACACCTCGAATCTTTCACCATAAAGGTAGTGCCTCCAAATCTTCAAGGCAACAATCACAGCTGCTAACTCTAGGTCGTGTGTAGGGTAATTCCTCTTGTGGATTTTCAACTGCCGCGAGCCATAGGCTACTACTTTCCCCTCTTGCATCAGTACACAACCCAAACCCTCTCGTGAAGCATCATAATAAATCGCATAACGCAAGCA